GGGCTTCGAATCGGCTCGCATCCGCTTGAGGGCGGCACGTGGGGACCCAGTTGTTTCATTTATTTATTCTCAAAGGCCCATTTCTCTTTCGAATTTGCGGGCCGATCAATGCTGCCGCTTCGAGCTCCTTCAAAATCCCTCTCCACTCAATTATTTTTACGCGTACATGCCATCGCAACGACGGACGGACAGGCAGACAGACCTGCAGCCCGAGCCAATAAGGCAGCCAGGAAAGCGAGCGGGACGCGGAGCGGGACGCGGCGAGCCCTAATGGCTCAACTTTTCAATGTGCGCTTGGGCGGCTGGGGCGGCTGGGGCCGTGTGATACCGCCGCACCGTTCGGCTTCGGCCCGTTCTATTTACTGGCAAGTTTGTTAAAAGAGCCATCGAGTGCCCGGCGCGCCGAGCGGCGTGCCCGCCCTGCCGGAGATAGCGGCGCGGCGACGCACGGCCGCACGGCCGGCACGATGGACGGCGCCTGCAGCGGCCGGCCGCCCGGTCGGTATATCACCGGGATTTCCCGCAGCAGTAGTTGCGCAGCGCAAGAAAAACGAAAACAAAAACAAAAAGCGCAGATTTCAAGGTACGTTTTGGCTGAAAAAAATATTGCTGGATTTGCCTAACGCGTTCGTTCCAGTTTCCGGCGCCAAAAAGTCCTTCCCGGCGCCGCGACACCCTCCTCCTCTTCCTGGCAGAGCTGGTTGCCGGTTCGCTATCCCGGCATAATCGCAGCCGAAGCGGACCGAGCCGAACCGACCGGCATCGGGCGCCATTTGGCAGTGCACCGGCCACGGACCGTAACTCTCACGCCCGCTGCACCGGCCCCCCCCCGCCCCCCCCCGCCCCCCCCCCGCCCCCCCCCGCCCCACCCCCCCACACCACGCCGCCGTTAAAAAGGGGGTTAATTAATAAAAGGCGCTCGGCTGGAGATTAAGCACCGCGTGTTGGTCGACCGTCGGCCAGTCAGTCACCCCGAAATGAAGGGTGCGTCGGCCTGGCCGCCTGCCGCGTCACCGCCTCGCCGCCTGGACGCCAGCCAAACAAAATATTTGTTTTCCACCTTACCCGTCGCCCTCGTAGAATTTAATTGCTCCTCCGTCCCGGGTCCCATCCCGATTCCGCCCCACACCACGGCGGTGGCGGCTCCATGGCGGCTCACACCCGCGGTCATCGGCCCGCGTCGCCCCGCCAACCCTCTCGAGCCGAGGGACCCGCTGACCCAGTTGCTGCCGCCGCTGCGGCCATGCAGGTCCGACCGCGGCGGCGGGGGCGGGGGTGGCGCCCCACAAAAGAATCAACATTGAAAAAGGACGGCCGGGATCGGAGCTGGAGAAGCCCCCGGAGCTCCGCGTCGAGGGGATCGTGAAGGGGCGGCCGGGCGAGGGAGCCTTAGGTACTTGGAGAGGTGCAGCAGCGCGGCGAGGGGCCGAGGCCGGCCGAGGCAGTGTCCGGGGCAGTCGCCCCCAATCGGCAGCTAATGCAGCGATGAGCGCGCCTAGCTGCGCGGCTGTGTGTCCGAGGCCGTTACCATGAGTCATCCTGACAGTGCGGCACGGCGTGGCCCGCATGGCCGGGATGGCCGAGGCCAGCGCCGCCGGCATCGCCAGTCCAGTCCACTGCAGGCCGCGCAGTCAAGCACGTCCGCCCTGAATAATACCCGCCGTATATATCGGGCTCCGCGTCCGCCATCGTTCGGTCGCTCTCGCACCCACACGGGATGCCCCGCCAAAGCGAGAGAGAGAGAGAGAGAGAGAGAGAGAGAGAGAGAGAGAGGAGAGAGAGAGAGAGAGAGACAGGCCGCCTGGTGGCTCAGATTGCTCTGATTGTGGCGGCGTTCCGGACTGCAGGGGCAGTGAGGCCGACGGAGCGCTCAGGTCTCAATCCACCTCGCCTGGGCTGGGCGGCGGGGGCCTTGTTGGGGCGGCGCGGCTTGGCGTACTGCCGCTCTATTGTGCGTGGCGGGCGCCCTGCTGGCGCTGCTGGTCCTGCTGGCTCTGCTCCTCCTTCTCGAAATGACCCTTGATGATACCACTAATGTGATCTGTCTGATATTGGGAGGAGGGGCGGCGCGCAGCGAGCACAGCGAGCGCAGCGCGGCCCTCGGCCTCCCGAGCTGATAGCTGCCCGAAGGAGGGGGAGGGGGATCTCTTTCACTGCCCCACGCGGGCCCCGCGGGAGGTCCGCGCCCCACCACGCCCCCAGAAGACCCGAATTAATATTTGTGTTGGCGCGGCTGCGCGGCGGCGCGGCAGGTCGGCCAGGCCGGCCGGTCGGTGGCGTTGCAGGGCGCGGCCGAGCGGTGCCGAGTGGTGCCCGGGGCCTCGGGGCTGGCGGGGCCGGCCGACTTGATCACGCCGACCGACCTGTCAGGAGCAAACAGCCGCAGCCCCAACGGGGCCAAGCAGGGCAGGCAGGGCAGGCAGGGCGCGCCGAACTCAAACTGACCGGACCAGTCGACTGATTCCGAGGGCCGCCTTCGTCGCTCTCTCTCTCTCTCTCTCGCACCTATACGGGACGCCCCACGAGTGCGAGAGAGACAGAGCGACGAAGGCGGCCCTCGGAATCAGTCGACAGTCCCGTACCGGATCGGCCACGGTTCTGACCGTGGGCCCGGCGGCTGGGGTGGGGTGCGGCCTTTTGTTCAAGACGTCGCCGGCGCCGAGCGGGACAATCGAGTAGGTGGTGGCTTGGGCAGCGTGTCTCGCGATTCGGAAACACTTCCTCACTTATTCAGTCCGTCACAGACCATCGACCGGCTGCCACAGCCCCGCCAGGCCAGCCAGGCCAGCCAGGGTCGCCGTCAACCGCCGGGCCGGGTGAGGATGAGAGAGGCAGGGGCGATGGTAAGGCGTAAAAGTGGAAGGGTTGGTGGCCGCCCGCCAGCCCCGCCAGCCCCCCCAGCCCCCCCAGCCCCGCCAGCCCCGCCAGCCCGCCAGCCCCGCCAGCCCCCGCCAGCCCCGCCAGCCCCCCCGCCCCGCCGCCCCGCCAGCCCCGCCAGCCCGCCAGCCCCCCCGCCAGCCCCGCCAGCCCCCCCAGCCCCGCCAGCCCCGCCAGCCCCGCCGCCCGCCAGCCCGCCAGCCCCCCCAGCCCCGCCAGCCCCGCCAGCCCCGCCAGCCCCCCCCGCCAGCCCCGCCAGCCCCGCCAGCCCCGCCAGCCCCGCCAGCCCGCCAGCCCCGCCAGCCCCGCCAGCCCCCCCAGCCCCAGCCCCCCAGTCCACCGCAAGAGACCCTCACTTGGCATGCAGGATACTGATAGCCTCTGATGAAAGCGTCGTCCCGACGACTCCGCGCGAATGTCATCACGGACAAATTGAGCCGAGCAGCCGCCCCGTCGCCGAGCCGTGGCGGCCGTGGCGCTCTGGAAGGCGAGGGGGAGGGGCTGTCTTGTGTGGCCCTGCCCGGCCCTGCCGCTCCATGTCAACGCCGAGGAAGGACGGGCGGTCTTAATGATGCTCTCCAAACACCTTGACGACGACGAGGATCGGCTGGAGGGGGAGGAGAGGCCCTTGACGAGCTCGCGGAGCGCTTTGCGCGGCTTGCGCGCACGTGTCAAGTTTGGCGAGTAAGAAACTGAGTGCGTGAAAGACTCGCGATTGGCGACGACCACGAAGACGGCGAGGACCGCCAGGACGGCGAAGGCGTGTCTTGGTGGTTTGGGGCGGGTGACCCGGCGGCCCGACGGCCTGACAGTCGGAACTCACGGCGCGCGCCACCGCGCCGCCACGCCGCCACGGCGTCATGTGCGTGGAATAGGGCGAAAACTTTGCCACGCGCGTATCAGCCTGAAGGAGATGGATGGAGCCACACAGTACGGACGCCACGAGGCTGGCGGCTTGGCGGCGGTGCGAGGGGTGGGGAGGGTTCGCGGAGGGGGAGGGCGCGAACAGTGTGAGTGTGGGATTGGCATGGAAATTGGCGGCGCGAGGGGCGAGGCATCCGCTTCACGGCGACGACAAGCGAGATGGAATATCGGATGATCCGCGGCCGGCGAACGCTGGTTCACTGCTGTCTCTGTCGCACCCACGGCAGCGCCCCCAAGGCGTGCGAGCGCGACAGAGCCCGGCCCGCAGCCTCGCCAGCGCGTACAGCGTCTGTAGAGCCTCTGCAGGGACTGTGTTGAGCCTTGTGCAGCCTCTGTGGAGCATCTGTGGGACTTCTG